TTTTTGCTAATGTGAGTGAAAAGGTCCCAACAGGGCTGGCTTTGCCTGAGTCCTGACACAGGCAGGCTGTCTGAGAGCCTTAGGCCTTCACCAGGTGTCTGTGGACTATTCGTGTCAGATATAACTCAGCCAGAGAAATCCTTGCTCTGAATTTCACCCTTAGAATCAGAAAACTAGTCCTTAATCAGACCAATGGAAACTCCCAACTAGAAATGAGGGACACTGGGTGGTTGGAGAGATGATCTATCTATATAAAAAGCCAGAGACTGTAACGCTGTAAATGACCTGAACTACAAGTCACTATATTGCCCAGTGTGGCCAGCGAACCAGCCAGATTAGGGAGTTGGGCCGCTGGCCAACTTCCTGTGGCCCCTCCACCAGCCGGCCTGCCCTTGATCAGACTCTCCCACACCAATCAGGGGTGTGGCTGGTGGCCAAACGCCCCCCTTACCCCCTGGCCAGCCCTGTCCCCAATGGCATTCCAATAGGATGCGGGGCTGGCCAGCCAACCTCCTGCAGCCCTGCCCCCTATGTGCTCCTACCACCCAGATAATTTGCAGCCCCTTCCCCTGGATGAGCCCACCCCTGATCTCTCCCCCCACCCCCAACCCCAATAGGGGCAGGGCCAGCCAGACAACCATCCATGGCCCTTTCCCCAGGCTGCTGGCCCCCAATCCCAATCTGGGCTGGGACTCACCGGCCAATCACTTGAGGCCCCTTCCCACAGCTGGCCCGGCCCTGATTGGGGCAGGCCGCCGGGACTCCACCTGTACATGAATTCGTGCACTGGGCCTCTAGTAAAATTATAACAGAATTGAGTTGGCTCTCTGATGAGTGAATAGTAGTGACTGTTCCATATTATATTAATTTTAATTAAAGACCAGCAGTTTTCTAAAAATATATTTTTATTAATTTCAGAGAGGAAGGCCGAGGGAAAGATAGAAACATCAATGATGAGAGAGAATCGATTGGCTGTGTTCTGCATGCCCCCTAGTGGGAATCAAGCCCGCAACCCAGGCATGTGCCCTTGACTGAAATCAATGTGCCTGGGATCCTTCAGTCTGTAGGCAATACTCTATCCACTAAACCGTACACATACCCCAGGGGTACGGAAAAGTTTGGTGGGGGTACACGTTGCACTGGAGTTTGGTGGGGATATGCACTGCACCGTGCTTAGCTGTGCCTAATTCTATGTTCTCATGAGTATGAGGGGTACTCAGCGTTACAAAAATTATAGAAGGGGTACACATGTCAAAAGTTTGGGAAACACTGCTCCTGAACCAGGGCAGGACCAGCAGTTTAAAACTAATTACGAGGAAGGCAGTAACCAATGGGAAATTTGTATTCTTTATAATACTCAAATACTCAAGTAACTAATTTTTTATGGTAGAAGTATTAGGATAAATATGAAAATTTAAATGGTTTAAACCATCTCTTCCACCAATTATGTGTAACTGTTGTTATCTTTCCTTAAAATTCTATTAGGTTTCTCTGGTCAAATATAATATCTACTCATTGGCCACTTCTCTTTCCATCCCTGGAACTGTTGATGGGCAGGGCCACTGTGGAAAAGGCAGCATGGAGAGGGTATGATACAAACGTAGCACATCCCAATAAATCCACACTCTTAAAAAAAAAAAAAAAAAAAAAAAAATATATATATATATATATATATATATATATATATATATATATATATATATATATATATATGTATATTGATTTCAGAGAGGAAAGGAGAGGGAGAGATAGAAATATCAATGATGAGAATCATTGATTGGCTGCCTCTTGCACGCCTCCTACTGGGGATGGAGCCCAAAACTTGGACATGTGCCCTGACCAGAAATCAAACTATGACCTTCTAGTTCCTAGGTCAACATTCCACCAGAGCTTGATGGCCAAGCAAATCCACACACTTGGATGGACAATAACTGAATGTCAAAACTGTGAAATTTTCTTTAGGTTAATTTGTGGCAAAGAAAGAACTATAACCTAGACTTTCTTATTCTATGGCAGATGGATTTTTAATGGTGCTCCCACCCCTAACCCTTGGGAATGGCTCCAACTATGATTCAGGAATGCTACGGAAACATTTAAGACAGATTATTGCATGTAAAACTATAATGTAGAACATTACTTGTATCTCACAGATAAAATTCTCCTTGCTTGGAGGAGTCTAAGATGATGAGGGGAGGCATCAGGTACAGGTGCAAGGATAAGTAGTGCTTTAAGAAAACTTGTCTGCAATATTAGAAAACATTAGTCAATGTAGAGAACAGAGTTCAAAGACCATGGGGGGGAAGCTGCATTTCAGAGAAAAGGGGTGGATTGGGAGCTCCAACATTGGGAGGGGAACCGACAGCTCTTTCCAGTCAATGGAAGGAGTGGAACCTTGGAGCAAGCCACAAGGGCTCTGTGAGTTTCACATGAACAGCCTATCTGGCTGGGCTGCCATCTCAGTCCAGAAAAGATGCTTGGCCTCCTATCCCTGGGATCTCCATCCTTTCAAATGCTAAACAAAAGTTAGAGAAGTGTTGGTCTATTCTTGCTTTATAGCAATTCTGCAAATATAAATTAAAAATTCTTGTCCTGTGGCTACATAAGTGTGGAGAAATAATTTTTTAAAAAGTCCCAACGTTTTACAAACATTTACATGTAATGTAAATATAATTATAAATATAATAAAAATTATATAAATTTTATAGATTATATAATAAACCTTTATATATATATATATTTTTATATATTTATATATATAAATTTTCCTGATGAGACACACAAACATTATCAAAATGTTTCTATATTCATGAGTTTTTCTAGAGCCCTGAAATATAGATGCTTAATAAATAATAGCCATAATCACTTTTAGTATTATTTAACAGAGCAAAGTCCTTTATAAGAGTAATATTATTATAACCTATTAGTATGATTTAGAAATTTTAGAGCCTCTTCTATTATTTCAAAAGGGAACTTTATCCTGAATAACTCATTTTACACCCGAGGAGGAAAAGGTTAAATTGACTTCCTTAAGGTGATATTATGATGTAAATGATCAGGTCTCAGCAAAATAATAAATATTGGAACTGAAAAATCAACTCAGATTCTACTTCACTGCTCAGATGTACTGTTAACTAAATTCCTAAGGTGAGAAAGGTAGCAAGATGCAACACCTGAAGACTAACAGAAGGCCTAATTCACATGGAGAATTGTGCTAGCTACTATTATTGTTGAGAAGTTTATCACCTTTCCTACAAGACTAATGCTGTTAAAATAGATGGTAAAGATTTTATTAATAAGCGCTACATTTTCAAGTAAATTTTAAGTGAATTTCTAGGGAACTCTTAAGATAGAATCTAGTTTTAATTATCTTTCATTCAATAGGCATCCAGTAAATGTTGGTTAATGACACAGATATAACATTGACAAGCTGGTCACCCGTTCTGAGAAACCTGTTTTCTAAGTTTTAATACAATTTTTAATGGACAATTACTGAGTCAGTATGTAGGAAAGTCTTGACTGTGGAGTTTAGAGCTAAATCCTACTTTTACTAGCCGTGTGATCTTGGGAAGGTTGACGCTTCTAAACAGCCCTTTCCTACTGTGGAATACATGAGAATTCCTTTGGATTCTATTGAGAATTCAGATGTGAGTTCTCTATCCCAGCGATTTACCTTTTTCATCTCATAGCACACATAAACTAATGACTAAAATTCTTCAGCATACTGACAAAACTATACATATAATTTTGATTCATTCACACCAGTCGTGGGTATGCCTGCCGCTCTCTGGACATTAGTGAGATGGGCACCTGTTGGCTGTTTTCATTTTTTTAATTTGACAATCTAAGGGAAAAGAGGTCAGTGCCCCTGACTAGTCAGGTATTGCATGTTTCAAAATTCTTGCCACACACCAGTTGAAACACGGCTCTATCCTAATTAGTCTGATTTAAATAGCACTGAGCTGAAACTGGCCTTGAGGGATGTTGTGGGTAGGAAGCCTATCATTATAAAGGCATTATTTCAAAGCCTACTCACTTTATCTTCCTAAATATAATTCTGATTATTTAACAGGTGCCCCTGTGCCTACAGGAGAAGTTGTAACTCTTCGCCATCTAACCCCACGTGGGGTACCGCTGCCCATCTCTAGATAAGATGTTGCTGTCCTTGCACTTTTCAAGTTTGGTCTTCCTTCCTGAGTTTCCAAAGACAGGGTTCTGGATTCGAGGCCCTAGGATGTTCCCGCACAAGGGGCAGAGGGGCTGTGACTGGAGCGGAAGGTGTCTTTCTTCGGCCAATCCTTGTGCCGTTAACGTCCACAAACAGTCCACGCCGGAGCGTTTTAAACACCCGAGGCGTTTTCGGTTCCGATTGCCCAACTGAACCACCACACTGAACTCCTTTGCCTCGGAATTCGGCTCCGTACTCCCTTCGACTTGTGACTGCGAGGACCCCAATTTGAGTCACCGGAGAGCTTTTTCTCTTAAATCTGGAGGAGCGCACGCGCCTGGGCCCAGCAGAAATATCTCGGTCCTCTAATGTGGGCCTCGGCTGCGGCATCGCTCGGGCCAAGGCCCCTCAGGCCTTCGCAGCGCCCGGGGCGCGTCGGCTTCTCCCTCGGGGTTTTCCAAGGCGGGAGGCGTGGGGGTTGGAAGAAGGACGGGAGGCGGAGGCAGAGTCGCTCGGGAGGAACCCGCTCGCGGACCCTCTAAGTCCCAGGTGGCCCAACGCGGCCGACACCGCCAGGTTTCCAGCCGAACCACTGTCTCTTCTTTGGACTGACTCCCTTGGCTTTCCGTTTTCTCTTGGGGAGGGGCGGGACTTCCGGCTTCATCCCGGAGCGACTTCCGGCAAGAGATGATGTACCGAAAACAAGACGGCACACGGACCCGTTGGCCATTCGAGGTAAAGAAAGCGGGTACTTGGAGTTGGTTTTACTAAACCGGTCCCGAGATCCTGTATTTTGGCTGTAGCGTCCGGCGGTCGGTTCGCGACAGAGTTGTCCAGGGAGCCGCCGGAAGTCGCTCAACGGAAAGGCAGGATGTCCCGCCCCTTCCTCCCAGAGGGAAGACGGTGAGCCGGAGGAGTCAGTCGTAGGGGCAGCAGGCGCGATCCTGTCGGCAAACAGGTAAGTTACTGTCTGGCCGGGGCGGGGGGTTTGGAGGCGGGGACCGTCCAGCGTCAGCGCGGGGCCTGGGGGCGGTAGCTTGCGGGCCGGGGCGCCAGCGGCTGGACGCCGGGAGCCCCGCCAGGGCCCTTCGCTCTTCCTCCTCCCCCTTCCCCCCCGCCTCCGCCCCTCCCGCTCGTCCGTCCCTCCCGACGCCTCCTAGACTCGCCCGTCACAGGCCCGCGGGTGCTCGCCACCGCCGGCCTCCGCTCCCTCCCGCCTCTGCTGGCTCCGCTCCCAGCCCCGGGCAGGCTCACGTGCACCCGCGGGCTTCGGTTTTCCCGCGGCGCCAGGATGTCAACGCTGCAGCGGCGCCCCTCACCGCCCGCTGGCTCAGGAACAGACCCCAACACGCCCGTGCGGAGCCGCCCGCGGTTGTAGTCTGGGCGGTGGTTTCCTTAGCCGCCCGCCCACTCGGCCTCCCTAGCTGCCACCCTACCTCCTTCCGTTAAGGACGCTGGGCTGGCAGCGGCCCCACGCTGCGATCGCTGTCGCCGTGGCTGACGCGGGGGCCCGGCCTCTTGGGGTTTCACCCGCCCCAGCGCTGGGACGGAGCCCGCTGGCTGCCGCACGCCGCTGTTCTGGCTGCGCGTCTGTCCCTGCAGCTGCACAGCTCCCAGCCCGTGAGCAGCCCCGCGTGTACCCGCCGCTCTCTGGACCTTAGTGAGCTTGGCGCCTGGAGCTGCTGACCCCTGTCGGTTGCATTGCATTTTGAACAGGCCACGTATTTCATTGGGGAGCTCTGGAATAGGATATGTTGGCAGGCTGGACATCCATACACACACATGTAGGAGTTCTTTGTTTTATAGGTAATCATAGCTCTAATGGTGATTGAGGTGTAACTTTACCGTCTGTGCCGGTGGATCACCTAATAGTGTACTCGTGCTTTGCGGTGGAGAATTGTGCTAGTTACTATTCTAACTTAGCTACTAACTTAGCTAGGTAGTCCACTTGGAACACCATATACGTGGGGAAGGGCACTTGGGTGTGGATTAGAACATCGTTAGGAGAACACAGAAATCTTGTAGGAATTAGTATTCCCTTTTTTGCCAGATGAGAACCAGATTAAATACTTTGGCCAAAGTTAACATCAGGATTCAGATCTCAAGGTGTTTGTTACTCATTCTTTTTCAAGTTTGCTACATGTGATATTACAGACTCCTTCTGGCACGTCTGAAAAATGTTAAGGCAGGGCTGTCAAGTAGCAAATGTCTTTTTGCCTCTTACTTAAGGCAGTTGTGATTATTGCTGTTAAGTGTTGCTACTGGTGCCTTAAAAAAGCTGTTTAGGAATAATTTAAGATTTACAGAAAAGCTGCAAGATAGGACACAGTTTTACTGGTATTCAGTACAGTTGCTAGACTTCAACAAAATTAGTTCCTGCTCTATTCCAGACATCATTCTAGGTGCCGTAGAGGATGACATATACTGCTCTAGAGGATTCCAAGGTCTAGTTGAAGAGACAGATACACAAAGAGGATGCCTCTTGGAAGTGCTGAAATGGAGATACAGGAGCACAGAGGACAGTGTCAGATTGCCTCAAAAGGAGTGGTGAGAGCTTTCAGGATACTTGTTTGAGTCTCAAGAATCAGTGGGTATTCATTTGATTAATGGGACGTTTTCCCCAACATTCAATCTGATTAAGTTTGTTTTCTTCCAGGAGAACTCTCTAACCTTCTAATGTGATTCCCCCCCATCTCTGAGATTCATTTTGCAAGTTGTGAGAAGAATCCCAGGTTATAAATCTGTAAGAAGGAGATTGTTTCTTATGCAGTAATGGAGATTTCTAGATCTGTACCTTTTTAAGGTCTTTATTTTTCATACTTGTTAAATACTTTTAGTGGTCTGGTCACACATATTGTTTATGGATAGGAGTTCGGAACTATAATTTGTGTTAAATTCCCACACCAGAGGGGACATTTGAATGTGTCTTAGTCAACTTGGACTACTGTAAGTAAATACCATAGCCTGGGCGGCTGAGAAAGCAGACATTTGTTTTTCACAGTTCTGGAGGTTGAGAAGTCTTAAGTTCAAGGTGCAGGTTCCTGGTGAGGTGAGGGCTCACCTGCCTTGCAGATGACACCTACTTGGTTTGTCCTCACATGGCAGAGAGCAAGAGAGAACTCTGGTCTGTCTTTCTCTCAAAGGAAACTGATCCCATCTTTGGGAGCCAACCCTCAATGACCTTATCTAAACCTAATTATCTCCCAAAGGCCCCACCTCCAAAGGCCATCACATTGGGAATTAGGATTTCAACATAAGACTTTTGAGTCTGTGGTAGATGGGTTTCTTGGAATTTTTGTTATGTGTAATGAATTCATCCAAAATAGACTTGATGGAGAACTACATAGGAAACTGTGAAATTAGCATTTATATGGCTTTTACTACAGAAAATAAAATTTTATTTTATTTTAGAGTTATTAAATAAGATTCAAAAGACCAGTGGATGAAGAAATTTTGAGTGGTGACCCACAGTGGTGCTCTTTTAACTTTTAGGTCTCATAGGAATGAATGCCCTCACAGAGTTATCAATGAGGGAATGAGGACTGGCATTGATCTATTACAGTTTCCTCAGTGTCTGATAGAGAGGCTGAGCTCCACAGAAACTAAGTGACAAATTTATCCCAGAGATTAGTGGCAGAGCAAGGATTAGAATCTGGCCTGATTTGCTGGCCGGCTGTTCTGTTCTTTCATCACTGATTCTCAAACTTACAGTGTTTCAGGGTCACCTTGGGGGCTTGTGAAAAGAGGGTCCTGACAGAGGTTCATTCACTAGTCTGGGCCGGGACTGAGAATTTGCATTTCTGACAAGTTTCTGAATTCTGTTGGAGCTTCTGGCTCTGAGACCACACTGTGAAAAACGTGGTTTTACACTTTGTTTTTGATCTAAGAAGAGAGTAAGAAAACCTGCATGGGTTTATACCAGCCTAACCTTTTCCCTGGTATTCAGAGATTCACATTTTTATTTCTTTTTTCTTTTTCAATATATTTTTATTGCTTTCAGAGTGGATGGGAGAAAGAGAGAGAAAAAGGAAGGGAGGAAGGGAGGGAGGGAGGGAGAGAGAGAAAGAGAGAGAGAGAGAGAGAGAGAGAGAGAGAGAGAGAAATGTCGATGATAAGAGAGAATCATTGATTGGCTGCCTCGTGCACGACCCCTACTTGGGGATCCAGCCGGCAACCTGGGTGTGTGCCCTTGACCAGAATCGAATGCAGGACCCTCTGTCTGCAGGCTGACCCTCTATGCACTGAGCTAAACCAGCCAGGGCTGAGATTCACGTTTTACAATTTTGAATTACAAACAATGTACCAATGTCAAAATGATTAGGTGAAAAAAAGACTAGAAATGGATTGTTTGTCAGAGGGAGTCATTTTCAAGGATAATTTTTGTAGATAATTTTAGAGGTCAGAGCATGTTATTGTTGAAGGGGACACACTTGAGCTGTGAGGGTCCTCAGTCTTATCAGCACGGACAGTAAAGAGGGTGTCCAGATCGATTGCCAGATTGTTTAGCAGTGAACATTAATTACTTCCAGTTTTGTTACGTGATGCATTTCTCTGTTATCTTGTGTGTGAAAATAGAGATCCTTTCTTATATATCAAAATCTCATGAGGCCCTAGCACAGTTACATGCCCATAGTAGTGAAAGTTGAACCCAATTAAAAAAGAGGAAGGGTGGAGAAATAAGGTAGTTTATTTATTTGGAGAGATTTCAGTGCCCTAGGAAAGTTACTTTGCTCTCTAGTTATCCCCACTGCAGGTTTTAGTGAATAAAAATTCTAACTTAAGCCTCATTTGTAATTATTGGAATATTTTTAGAACAATTACTGGAGGAGATAGTGTATTGTTATGTTAGAGTTAATAAGTGGTAACCTATACTTTAAAAAAAAGTCATTCATTTGAAGTGCTTTTTAAAAACTTTTTATATTGAAATAATTTTAGAATTACAAAAAGGTTGTAAAAATAGTCCAGGGAGTTGATACATACCTTTCAACCAGCCCCACTTCATTAACATCTTTAACCACTAGAGGCCTGGTGCACGAAATTTGTGCATGGGAATGTGGGGGAGGGGGTCCCTTCAGCCTAGCCTGCACACTCTCCAATCCAAGATCCATCTCAGAATCTGGGATTGCTGGCTCCTAACTGCTCACCTGCCTGCCTGCTTGCCTGATCATCCCTAACTCCCCTTCCCCGCTCCCTGCCACTCTGGTTGCCCCCAACTGCCCTCCTCCCCCTGTTGGCCTGGTTGCCCCCAACTGCACCCCTCCCCCCACCCCTGGATGGCCTGGTCGCCTCTCATGGCCACCTCTTCTGGCCTGGTTACCCCCAACTGCCCTCCTGCCGGCCTGGTTGCTTCTCACTGCCCCCTTCTGCCAGCCTGGTCACCCCTCTCTGCCCCCTCTGCTGGCCTGGTTGCCCCATGTAGCCTGCTGTTAAGTCATTTGGTCGTCCCTCACTAACCCCCCTGCCAGCATGGTTGCCCCATGCAGCCTGCTGTTTAATTGTTTGGCATCCGTCACTAACCCCACTACTGGCCTTGTTGCCCATGCAGCCTACTGTTTGGTGGTTACTGTGAGGGCGTCATGACCAATTTGCATATTACCTTTTATAAGTATAGATAGTGTAATCATTGAGACCAGGCAGTTGATAATCTAATGTCTTCATTCGAGTTTCACCACTGATGTCCTTTTTCTGATCCAGGATCCAAACCAGTATTAGTTATCATGTCTATTAGTGTCTTCAATGTGACAGTTCCTTTCAGATTTCTTTATTTTTTAGGATCTTTTGAGGAATACTGGTCAATTATTGTGTAGAATGTTCACTGGTTTGGATTTGCCTGATTGTCATTAAGTTGAGGGTTAAGCATTTTTGGTAAGAATGCCACAGTGCTGAGGTTGTGCTGTTCTCTGAATTGTATTGGGATGCACGTGTATCATTGGTTGATCTCTTGGTTGAGGTGGTGTC